GGCTCGATCCCAGGACCCTGGGATCATGACCCGAGCCAAAGGCAGCCGCTTAACCGACTGAGCCAGCCACGCGCCCCCAGAAATCATTTTATAAGAATCACCATCTCAGAATCTGCTTCTAGGGAACCTGACCCAAGACAGTCTGGATTGAAAACAGCCCCTTACTTGCTAATCTATTTTCACAAAATGTTACTTTTTGTGCATCAGTTTCTGTCTTCCAACCTTGAATCAGATGTCATTTGACTAACATCCCCCTCCCCATCACACACACACACACGCACACATGCACACACACACGTGCGCGCACACACACACCCTCTGAGTTACTTTTTTCTTGGTGAAGTCATCCAAAAAAAAAAAAATCTTAATCTTTTCTTTCATCCATTTGGATATTAAGGTAAGACATTTACAGACTCTGGTTTCCCTGGGCCTCTTTCAAGATGTCTCCTTGTGTTCTGAGTCTTTCCTTAGATGCCTTGTCCCTCCTAGCACAGGACAGGAGGTGATTCGAGGGAAGGAGAGATTAATCCTGGCTCTCTAGGCCACTCTCTTTGCCCACCTCATTGATACCGCAGCTATAATTCTCAAAAGAAGGGTCCTGCGATCCCAGGAAGTCTTTAAATTAGTCATGACCGGTCCAATCAGACTCTAAGCAAACACAGCCTTCACTCAACTGCCGCCTACCGTATCTGTGTTCACACATCTTTGCTTCTGGTCTAAATCGTTAATAACATAAATCCAAACTTCATGTCTTAATCAAAGACCCAAATTCGCAGAATGCTGGTAAGATCTTTTGGAATCGGGGAGGTTGTTTACAAGAACTCTGAAAATGTTTGAGAACCCCAAAGTTTTGCTCTTTTTACTAACTAACCATTTTGTGTAGAGCTGGAGAGATGGCAGGGCAGGCCCCTCCCACCAGGACGCCATGGCGGCCCCTCCTGCTGCTGGCGTGGCCGCATCCCCAGAGCCAGGAATCCTTTTTCCGTTCGCTATGTCCTAATTTGCCAGTAAGCCCTTTGCTCCTGGTTCTGGTCCCTTACTACCTGGAGGCACATCTCCAGCAGCAAATAAACCAGGGCAGGAAAAACAGGTTCAAGACATTTCCGTAATTCTATTTGTTGATCACTTTAAGAGTCAAAATTATGTTTGAAAATTTTTGAAACCATTACCTGTAGATTCGATTCGATCTTATATAGTCAATGCTGTCCAACAAACATTTAAAATGCAAGCCACTTTGTAATCTTAAAATGTCCAGTAGCCTCATTAAAATAAGTAAAGAGGGGCACCTGGGTGGCTCAGACGGTTAAGCTCCGACTCTTGATTTCAGTTCAGGTCATGATCTCAGCGTCGTGAGATCGAGCCCTGCACGGCTCCGTGCTGGGTGTGGAACTTTCTTAAGATTCTCTCTCTCACTCTCCCTCCGCCCCTCCCTACCCCACCCCACCCCACCCCCGCCCCTGCACATGCGCACTTTCTCTCTCTAAAAACAGGAAGAAAAGAGGGGAAATTAATTTCAGTGATTTTGTTTAACCCAGTGTATTCGAAGTATTACCATTCCAACGTGGAATCAACATTAAAAACAGGGATGTTTTACATTCTTATTTTGCATTAAATCAAAATCTAGTGTCGGTTTTACACTGAACACCACATCTCAATCGGACTAGCCACATGCTGGGGGCTCTGCGGCTGCCCGTGGCCAGGGGCTGCTGTACCCGCCAGGACGGCTGCAGCTTTCCCCCTCCTAGATGCCTCCCCTTCATGGGGTAAACCGTGAGGGTCTTTAGGAAAGCACTAGGTGGAAGGCATTATGATTCACCAACTTCAGTAATTTCCAGCCCCTCTATGAGTCACTAGAAATGTCACCTTTGAGGAGCCAGAGATGGAGGAGCTCAGATGCCGGCCATCTCCTTCCTTGCCCACTCTTGTGGGTATCTTGGCGCCAGTGAGCACACACACACTCAAGACTCCTGTGCAACCTGCCCACCCCCAGGCTGCAGTGTGCAGTCTGTGCCAGGCCTGAGTGCCCCCTCACCTCACCTTCTTGCAGGGCAAGCAGGCTTCCAGAAACTGGAATGGGGCAGGCTGGTGAGGCCTCAGCCTCGGGGAGAAACCTGAGTGAGGAAGGCACTGGGAGGCAAAGGGGACGAGAAGGGAACTGACAAAATGGAAGACCATGAACTCCAGCACCAGCCGGTCTGGTTCCCGGCTCCCCCACCTATGGTTATCTGACCTCCCTGAGCCTCGTCTCCTCATCCGTTATGTGGGGCTCGCTGACTCCTTTGGGTTGAGATAGCAGCCTAAGTGCTAAGGGCCTGGCATGGAGGAAAGTGACCACTCGTGGCTTGCTGCCATCTGAAGAAGCTGTGTCACCCTCTGCAGGGACTCCCAGCCTCTGCCAAGCCACCCCCCTCGCTTGCTAACTCTTCTTGTCCCTAAGAGGACACTGCCAACACCCCACCCCCACCCCTGAGCCTTTCACCGGGTCACCTCAGTTCCAGCAAAGTCAGTGGCTTCCTGCGTCTCTCTCTGCTTGAGGAGATTCCCCAGGAAACACCAGAGACCTGCAAGGAGCTGCGGGCAGGAGCTGCCTAGGAGATGAGGGTCCCAGGATGGACCCCCATCAAGGAGGGACGGGAGTTACTGGAAAAATATCCCAGCTTCCTCACCCCTGGAGCAATTCTGCGGTGCATTCTACATGGTTCTTCAGAGGGTCCCCAGCGGGGTTGAGCCCCTGTTGTCCACAGTGATAACCTGTTCATTAGCTTGCTCTTATTGGCTGTTTTCCCCTCCCCATCTCCCCTCTGTAGCCCCTCACTGTGTTTCCTGAGATCACCTCCCCAAAAAACAGCTTATACCCAATTCCTTGAGTCAGGGTCTGCAACCTAAACCCACAAGAGCCCCGCCAGCCCACCACTCCCTCAGCATTCTCCTTGCCCCAACCTAAGGTGCCAGCCTAACCACACAGAGATCAAACTTTTACTGATTCACCGGTGCTAGGGACTGAAAAAGAAGCCTAACAGCCAGACCCGGGAGAGTTCACACTACATGATTCCATCTCTATTACGCTCAAAACCAGGCACAGTAATTAATGCTGTTCCAAGTCACACAGTGGCTCTTGGAAGGAAGAAGACAGTGACACAGGGAGGAGCAGTGACTTCGGGGGGCTAGACGTACGGTAGCCCCCCTCATCTGTGGGTTTGCTTTCAGTGATTTCAGTTACCCATGGTCAACCACAGTCCAGAAGCAGATGATCCTCCTGCTGTGACCTAGCCTCGGAAGGTCAGTAGTAGCCTAACGCTACGTCATTCAGCTCACTTCATCTCATCACGTAGGCACTTTATCATCTCCCATCATCGCAAGAAGGGTGACTATAGTACGATAAGGTATTTTGAGAGAGAGAGAGACAACGTTCACTTAACTTCTATTACAGTATATCTCTGTAAGTGTTCTGTTTTATTATCAGTTCTTGTTGTTCATCTCTTACTGTTCCTACTATGTAAATTAAACTTTATTAGGTATGTATATATATGATATAGAGGGTTTGGTACTACCTGTGGTTTCAGACATCCACTGAGGCCTTGGAATGTATCCCCATGAATAAGGGGGACTGCTGTATTCTGTTTCTTGATCTCGGTGCTAGTTACATGGGTGTGTTCGCTTTGTAAAAATTACCTAAACTCGTCAAACTCTACACTTACGATCTGTGTGCCTTCTGGACGCATGCTACATTTAAATGAAAAATCCACTTGAGAGAAGGTATTTTAGAAGGAAAAAAGGAACTTCTAAGTATGCCAGCCCACTCTCTCAGGTGGAGGACACTCTTCCCAGGCCGGGGAAACAGCTCCTGGCCAGCACTCTCAGAACACAACAGTGGGATAAGGGCTATACAAGAAATCTGAATACACAGGATCGGAGAAGGGCCCTGTGTGAGGACTGAAGAGCTGGGATCTCCATCCGGATGGAGGAGTGGACACTGTCCTATCCCACCAAGATCCCAGAGGGAACCCCAAACTCTGAAAGGACTTGAGGATCAGGAGACAATCTAACGTAAATTCTATGAGGCTGTAGAGAGAATGCGTCATGAGTAGGATGGGGCTGAATGGTTAGGACCGGATAGGTTTAAATGAGATGAAATGGGATAGGACGGGACAGGATGGGGATTTAAAGATGGGACCCAGATTGTAAGGAGCTTACATGAAGTCCATCAAGATGAGGAGTTTGGATTTCATCTCACCCAGAGTTGGAGAATTTTCAGAAGGGAAATGGCATCCTTAGAATTATCCTCAAAAGATCCCTCTTTTGAGGTGTGGAACTGTGGGCCTCAAGGGGAAGCCTAGAGGCCAGATGTGTCTAAATTAAAACGAATGATGCCTTAACCAGTCAGAAGGGCTGGAAGAGAGGCCAATGGGCACCCCTAGGATCCTCTGTGAATTGAGCTGATAAGGACCCAGATCCATGCTTCATACGTCAGGAAACTGAGGAAGGACCAACGGGAGCAAGACACTTGCCAGCCTCACATAGGAGCCGAGCATTTCCTTCTCTTCTTGAGCTCTCAGGAGCTCATTCTGAGACTGGCTTACATCCCAACAAAGGAGCAGAAGACACACAAGACCATAAGAATCCATTCTAGCAGTCAGCCAGATGATGGCTGAACTATGCCCCCGGGGAGCCTTGTGTCAGACTTCACAACTCTGAGAACACTTCCAGCCAGTGATGTGTCTTGAGGGGCCCTAGAACTTGGGCCATTACCACATCGTACAGAGGTGAAAACAGCGTCAGCAAAGGGCCTTGCCTGGCCCAAGGTGACTCAGGGGGCTGGTGGCACAACCAGGAGGTGAGCCCAGATGCACTGGCCTCAGACGCCCCAACCTGCCGTCTTTCCAGAAATACCACACTGCTCCATGCTCCCGATGTGGCTCTCTGGTGGCCAAGGCGCAGGAACACCGTGGGCGAGAACCACAAAAGCAACCGCGAGGCCCACGCCCCCTCCCCTTCCTCACCTGTATGCGTGCGGACGTGCCTCTTCAGGTCGAAGGTGTCATTGAAGCCCTTGCCACAGAAGGTGCACAGGTGCCTCTTCACCTGGTTGTGGCACTTGAGGTGGCGGTTGAGCATGCGCTGCAGGCGGAAGGCCTTGCCGCACAGCTCACAGCTGTGGGCCGCGGGGTCGCTGCACGTGCCTGTGGTGAACTGGGACAGAGGGGGGGGTGTGTGTGAGGGCCCCGGGGCAGGCGGGCGCAGCCGGTGGGCTCAGCCCGGGGGGCACACCTCCCTGTGTGTCTCCAGGCTTGGCCAGGCTGGGGCTCCTGAGCCCTACAACTTCCAAGCGGGTTTGGGAAGGAAATGGCCGGAAGCTCCTCCCCGCGTTCATTCCCCCCTCCTTCCTCAGAACAGACTTCTGATTTCTGGGCACAACGGCCCCCAGCTGAACGTCTACAGCAAGTCACGGCGACGGGAATAGTGGGCCAACGGCATATACCCCTTCTGTGGGGGAAGAGGGTGCCCTCTTTCCTCCTTTGCTCCTTCCTACTGGCCAGAACTCCAACAGCCACCCTGGACCATCGAGGGAAGCCAGTGCTGAGGACGGGAGAGCAGAGAGGAGTCCAGGTCCTGATGAGGTACAGAGTCCCCGAAGACAGACACAGTCAATTCCTTCCTCCCTGTGCCTGCACGCTACTCCATCCGTCAGGAGATTGGAAACCCTTTCCTCTCCCCTGGGATCTGGGCAGGGCCTCTAAGTTCTAGGTCTTAAGACACTTTGCAGCTGGGGCTCCTGGGTGGCTCAGTCAGTTGAGCGCCCGCCTCTTGGTTTTGGCTCAGGTCATGCTCTCAGGGTCGTGAGATCGAGACCCACTCATTGGGGCTCCGTGCTGAGCAAGCATGGAGCCTCCTTGGGATTCTCTCTCTCCCTCTCTCTCTGCCCCTCCCCCCCCCAACGTGTGCGCACTCTAAAAAAAAAAACCAAAAACAAACAAAAACGAGAGAGAGAGAGACTATGCAGCTTCTACATGTTCCCTTTTGGAAGCCAGCTGCCATGTAAGACATCCAAGACCACCATGGCACAAGGAAGCCCAAGCAGCCATGGGGAGGGCAAGGCCACTGGGAGAGGCACTGAGGTGCCAGATAAAGCCTCACTGGGCCTCCCAGCCCAGCCCACGGCTGCCATCAGCTAAGTGACTCTGGCCAGTGCCACCCAGGGTACAGCTGCCTTGCCGGGCCATGCCCCAGCTCCTGACCCACCAAAGTATGAACCCCTAAAATGATCATTTGGGGAAGTAACTTGGTCAGGATCCCACAGCTTCATTCTCAGCAAAATAACCAAACCCCAGGCCCTGGGCTTCCAGTCCCATGGTCCCTCAACCATGTTTGCTGCCCCTAAGGCAGAAGCTTGAATCTATAATTAAGTGGTGAAAAACACCAGAGCTGATATATTCATCAAAGTTTTCCTAGTTACCAAATCAAATCCTTTAGAAGCTTGAGCCAATTGCTCTGCCATTTGTAAAAGGGCCTAATAACCTGATTTTCATACAAACATCATTAACAGGAAGAGTTGGTCCTTGCCTGGATCAACACCTCCATGGCCTCCAACACCCTTCCGCTTCCCTCCGCCCTCTGTATTGCCCTCCACTAAGTCCCAGCTCAACCGCTCCCTCCCTGATGCAGCTTCTCCAATTACTGCAGCTTCTGCCCAAACTGTTTTCTGTACCCCTAAGACCAGGGCCCTCAAACCCCAGTGTGTGCACAAATGCCCTGGGGGGCTTGTTAAAACGCAGGTTCTGATTCAACAGGTGTGGTGGAGTCTAGATGCTGCATTTCTAACCAGCTCCCAGGAGATGCCACTGTGGCATGGATTGTACTGGAGACATGAGGCTAGGGTATGGCCCTCACACAGTTCAGTACTTTATTCCACTCATTGCAGAGGGTTCCATTATGCATGGATGTTTCCTCAGTGTTCACCTTGTTTCCTCAAGTAAACGCCTTTGCAGAGGTCAGCAAGTGTTTGTGCACATTCCTGCCCCCCACCCCCCAAGCTCAGACTCAGGCCAGGGCACCAAGACTGTTGATGGGCAGTGGCTCACAAGCGGCAAAATACAAAGAAACCTGGGGAAGGTACAAGACCCCAGAACACAGTTTTTCGGTCGGCCTCCTCATCTGTTTGGAGCTTAATTTGTCTCAGCCGACATATGGAGTGCCCGGTCTGCAACAGGCCCTGTACTCAGAGCTGGAGGCAGCACAGTCACCAGGATGGCTTGTCCCCACGAAGCTGCCAGTCTAGTGGGGAAGCAGACCCATCAAAAGGCCACTGGTATCTGGGAAGCTCCGGGAGCAATGGACACCTCGGACAGGCACCTACCCCAGGCGTAGAGTATGAGGGAAGGTGCTTCCAAGGAAGTGAGCTCACTCCTCAGCCAGGTAAAGATGAGGAGGTAGAGAAGGGCAATGAATATTCCAGAAGAGGGCAATGGGCAACAGGGAGACTGCGTGTGGTTCCACATGGCTAGCCTGAACCCAAGAGAGCAGTTAATGAAAAGAGCTGGGGTAGCAGAGCAGGGCAGCGTCCTCCTTGGGGCACTGTGTTGGGGCCCTAAAGAAACTCAGTTCTATTCAAAAGACAGAGGGGCCACTGCAAGGCACACAGAAGGATGGCCTCAGGGCTTGGGTTGTTGACCCAGTGGGTAGCCACCCTGGGCCTCCAACTGCTCAAACCCCACCTCTGTGTCCTCCAAAGGGGTAAGGCCTGGTCCTCGTCCTGAGGGAGACCCAGATGAGCCCAAGACTTTCTTATTTCTGTCACTAGGAGGGGGCAGGTCTTTTCTCCTTGCCTGGAAGTCCCCATTCTGGGCATTGAAGCCCTTGAAGGGATGTAAAAAGACTAAATACGGCCTGGGGTGCCTGGGTGGCTTAGGTCATATTCCAGGGTCCTGGGATCAAGTCCCGAGTCGGGCTCCCTACTCAGCGGGGAACCTGCTTCTCCCTCTCCCTCTGCTCCTCCCCACTGCTGGTGCTCTCTCTCTCTCTCTCTCTCATGCTCTCTGTCTCAAATAGATAAATAAAATCTTAAAGAAAAAAAAAAAAAAAAGACAAATATGACCCAAGTCTTGGCAAACTGAATACCTGGAGTTTCTCAAGGCCAAGTCTACACAGGAGAAAGGTCACTGAGAGCTGGTGAATGCCTAATAAAACCGAACACAGACAACTGACCCATGTAGTTTGATTAAGAACATGCAAAAAGCTAGAATTCTTCCTGCAGAATGTTCTTAAGGACTTGCCAACTTAGAGTCCAAACCCAAACTCCTGTTTAAGCCTTTTGGTAAATTCCTATTTTTAAAATGCTCTGCATGTAATATGGATACCTTCTATTACAGCCCAGGATGAAAATCTCAGATCACTAGCATTATTTTGTTTGAAAAGAATAAAATCTTGAAGGGTAGAGAGAAAGGAGGTTAGTGACAATTTAAGGGAGTGCAGAGCCAATGGATCATCTGACCAAGATACAGAAAGCCTTTTAACACAGGGGAGAACATGAGAATGGGGGAGGAGACTGGGGACTAAGCAGTTTTCCTCTGGTTTTCTTGTAACAAAAATAGAAATTCTCCAAGTGTACGTCAACATAGGCAAATTTTCCATTTCTCCATCTTCATATACATCCCCATTCCACAGGATGGCAAACTGAGCCAGCACCAAGGGGCTCATTTAGGGAATCCATGAAGCACTGTTTGCCACCTCTCTCTCTCTATGACCAACCCAGCACCCGGACATTAAGGAATTATATTTGAAGGCTTAAAAGGGCCTTGTTGAAAGATGTAAAGTTAATTAAATGGCAAAAGACCATGGCTGATGAAGCCAGCTTCTGCCAGACTATTTCAATCCTCAGAAAGGAAGGACTATTTGTAGGATAAACTCCTAAATGTGAAATTTATCCCAGAGTATATTTCACATGGCAGGTGCCCTGAAATTCTGTCTGTAATGGCAAAAGACCAGGAACTACCTATAAGTCCATCAATAGGGGCTTTAAAAAGATGGTAGAACCATATAATTAAAGCATCTAGAAAAAGGAAACAGTGTCAGCTGTCAGACACGTGATCCAGCCCAGTTAAGCCCCCAGAAGATTCCAGTTGGCTGCCATTTGACTGCGACCACGAGAGAAACCTCAGGCAAGAATGGCCCAGCTAAGCCCAGTCATTCCACAGAACTAGAATATAGAATAATAAATTAGGCTGCTAGGGGCGCCTGGGTGGCTCAGTCAGTTGGGTGTCTGCCTTTGGCTCAGATCATGATCCCAGGACGTCCTGGGATCAAGCCCCTTGTTGGGCTCCCTGCTCAGCGGGGAGTCTGCTTCTCCCTCTCCCTCTTCCTCTGTCCCTCCCCCCCACTCCGTGCTCGCGTTGTGTGCTCTCTCTCCCACTCAAGTAAATAAATAGTCTTGGAAAAAAAATAAATTAATAAATTAGGCTGCTAAATGTGGGGTTATTTGTGAAAGTGCAATAGGGAACTGGAACAGTAAGAGATGTATCACATTCTCTCCAGAGCACCAGACCTGCCACATTTCCTAATGATCTCTTCCAGGATGGGCTGCAGGATACAGACAACACATCTGATTCCTGGAATGACATCCCATGGGCCAGAGCACCAGCAATCCCTCCCCAGGTCACTGGGCCATCTTTACAATGTTTACAGAGGTTTATACCTAACACCCGACCTCCTAAAAGTTCAAAATAAGGTTAACCAATCACATCTATTACTCCACTTTGCAAGTAGTAGACCCAAACTAGTTGCATCTTGGCCATCTTGGTTACAAAATGAACGGACAAGGAATGCTGAGGATCAAATAAAAACCTATACCTGCCATCACCCCCTTGTGAGATGTCATTTAATATCCCTGCAACACCATTTCCCACGTGTTAAGTATGGTAAAATGGTGGGGCACCTGGCTGGCTCAGTCCGTAGAGCATGTGACTCTTGATCTCCGGGTCCTGAGTTTGAGCCCCACACTGGGTGTAGAGATTAGTTAAAAAAAAAAAAAATGAGGGGTACCTGGGTGGCTCAGCCGGTTAAGCGTCTGCCTTCAGCTCAGGTCATGATCCCCGGGTCCTGGGCTCGAGTCCTGTATCGGGCTCCCTGCCCCGCGGGGAGCCTGCTTCTCTCTCCCTCTGCCTCTTTCTTGCTCTTTCTATCTCAAATAAATAAAT